GGGAGTTGAAGTCCACATATCTTAAAGTTGCTAAGGTTGAGAAACACTGGGTTAGAGAGTTACAGTTGGAAGCAGAGCCATTCAGACACCTTAACGTTTTTAAATTTTTCTCACTAAACAATTGCAAACTGTTTTCTTTTTACTCAGATTAATGGCAAAACCAAAGGAAAGGGAATCTATGGCCTAGTTTATTCAATATGGTGAGCTATAATGTGATTTATTTAGCTTTAGTGATTTATTTAGATGGGGTGAATAAACCCACCCAATTGTGCTGTATTCTGTCAACTCTACCCTAAAAATTCAGAGCTTAGCCCAATTTATAAACCAGACCAAGGAACATTATGCTCCAAAAGAACATTAGCAGACTTTTAATCAAATAAAATGTATTTTATGTACAGATGTAAATGGCTTTGTAACTAGGAATCGTTAAAATTCAACTTTGAGCAAGATCTTACCCTGGAAACATTCTATTCTTCAGCAATATTTTTGTATTAATGGAAATATTCCCTTAAACAGTTGCTATTTAAGCCTATAACACATGATGATGATAATAAATATAGATTGCTTGGGTCCATAAATCTTAGCTTACCTAGTTGAAATTTCTGGTGGAACCTACAACAAAGAAAAACTGCCAAGAATTCTGTTTTCTTTTTTTTCTATTCCTGATGTCACACTTCTTTCACTACCCACTTGAAACTTTCATTTATACTGACCTTCATTGATAATTTCCCTGAGGACCCCTCCCTCCCTAGCCAAACCCACCAAAATCATAACCTTAACCTTTCTAAACAGAGATGTGACTATTTGAAAAAGATCTCTCTATTCTAAGAAAATGTTGGGTCCATTCAAGCACCCTTTGAAGAAAATGGAAGGGTTGTGTAAATCAAATCTTTCTGTAATGTGAGGTTGAAAAATGTGACATGGAATGGTTACCATACAGTGCCTAGAATTATGTGAGGAGTTGTTTCGCTTTGCAAAGCTACCTTGATGCCAATTATCATCAAGGAAGGCATTCAGTCTTGAGGTTGGCTATTTTACTTTGCCCAGCCACTTCCTACATTTATGCTTTTTTTTTTTTTTTGGTGCACACATACATGTGCAGAGAAGACTATCAAAAGCCAGCAAGCAATGACTGCTTTGCTTTGCTGAGCCACAACAAAAGGATTTACGTTTTGGATTAGAAAAGCTACCCAATCATCAAATGACTCAAGGATGCTTCAGTTGAAGACCCCTTTGAGACTTTGCACAGCTAACGCTACAGATTAGTCTTAAACGTATCTCAGTCCATAACCCTAAATATACGCATCCATGCTATGAGCCACTTGTGCAAAATCAGGAGCCTTTCCAGAAAGGAAATCTCTTGCCCTGGCATTGTTAGATGCCTTTGGGGACACAGTCTGCTGAAGCAGTAAGAGGGATAGGCTTCCAGGCATCTGTAAAGTGAGAAGAGCAGAGATGCTCTGGCTGGAAGAAAGGAGAACATGAGATCCAGCTTTAGAAGAAGTTGCTATTCTGAGGTGCTTGAAGAAAAGAACTTGATGATGATCATGTGGGGTGGGGGAAGTAATCCAATGTCATCAAACAAAACTATGCTACAGAAGCCAAGTTAAGACTGACATCACCAATCAGCAATACAAAACCAAGCAACCATTAGTAAATTACATCTAACCAGTTTGGACATTGGCTTATTTAGGCAATTCAAGTATTGAAACCAGACGATAGAATAGCACCACAAATGTTCTTGCAGTGGGAGGTGTCAAAAAAATCAAGATGGTGTTGAAGCCCCACCCCTTTTTAGTGCATAAGATGGGACAGAGTTTCGATCACACCATCAAGGCCACTTTTTTGGCCCTCCCACATGGACAACCCTAACAGGGTTTGGTTTTTCCCCTCAACAAGAACCTCAGTTTAAATATTAAGAACATTTCTTTACTTCAGTTAGCCATACAGAACACACCTCACCACTTTAAATGTGATCATGAGTGGGATTTTGGCAAGTGTAGTTAGCTGATTGCTTCCCTCTTTAATCAGCTGGGGACCCATCTAAACTTATAGCCCCCAGTGGCTGTCCTAACAGTAAATGCATTGCCTTGCGGAAAGGCCAGTGTCCGAATGTTACAGTGCTCTGTGATGGATGTCCTGAAGGACACCCCTTCCTCAAATTCACTGCCACTTAAGTCCAGGGAACTGTGACTGCTGCATGTCTGCAGCCCATGAAAAGCTCCATACATGTGGATGGCTTCATTCTCTCCACGAGGACGCTTCGGGCCTCTGTCATCGTCAATGGACTGCAAGGCTGCACTGCATTTTTCTGATATTTCCCTTAAAATTTCATTCACTTCCATGTCCTCCTCATGCTCAGGAGCTGACATCTCCTCAAGGCTTCTCTTGCCAGGGCCACAGCTGAGGGAAAAGTCAGTGCTGTCTTTGCTCTGAGGGAGCATCAATTTCTGCCAACAGTCAAAAGCACAAATGTAGAAAGACATTAGCTGCACATCATGCTTATTAGCAAAGGTGGAAGACTTGTTAATATCTTACTCTCTTACAGACTACGTTGCTAAAATCCCTCGTATTCTAAAGACAAGGGGAAGACAATTTATTTAGACAAATAGTGATATTTGAAATTTTGTGGGGAATCTCATAAAATGGCTGCCATGGGCGAGGGTTTGCCATTCACAGAATCAACACATCCACACAGAAAACACCCACAATCCATTCTATACCTTCCCTATCCAATTAATCTTGTTTTCTAGGCACAAAGCATAATCACAAATGAAGCAGTGGCCATAACTACCTACCACTTGATTTCTTTAAGAATATCTATGGAGCAAATCAAGATGATGCTGGAGTTTGGTGTGTCTGTGGTAGGCCAGGGCCAGGAAACAGACAGGATTACAGGGCTGATACTTCGTTATTGTAGGGTATAATACATAATCTTGGAAGCCTGCCAGAGTTTCCTATTTATGTATGTATTTATTTATTTAAGATTTATATAGTCACCCATCTCACATATGTGACTCTTTGGCCCATCTTATTCCAAATAGAATCAAGACAGGCTTAGTTTGAGCTCCTTTTGCCTGTTTTCCCTTTACCCAGGACTAAGTTGTTGTCTCTCCTCCCTTAACAGCTCCTGTATGCCTTCCTCAAGAATGCATCCTGTATGCATCCTCTACAGCTGCTTTGTTTTGTAGCATATCAGTTTCTAATTTTTTTAATTGAAAGAGACTAAAAAAAATTAAAGTCAAATGGGGCAGGAAGCTAGGTAGACATAAAAGAAAGTGCACTGGCTTTGGTGCCCTGGGGTACCACATGGCCTACCTCTGAAATGTAACATTACTGTAATACGTCATAGTTAATCTCTGATTTCATGTTTGGAGAATACACCAGGGTTTAACCCTAGAGCCTTTTTAGTGCCTTATATGAAAACAATAAACATTTCACTCATAAAAATAACTTGGCTTTATGGCAGTATGACCACCCAAGTGGTACAGAAATTACCTACCAGGAGAGACATTTCAGCACTTACATCTAGTACAGAAGCAAGATGTTTGGCTTGGCTGGCTAGTTCCTTCAGCTGAATATTTCTCTCCTTCAGAGAAGCGATTTCTTCTTGCTTTTGAGTCAGTGTCTCTTGAAGCTATTGGGAATGAATACGGTCAGGTAAAAATCATGAGCACAGAATGTCCTATCAAATGAAATGTTGCCAATAACTATACTTTCTGATCTAGGAAATTCCTTGATAACCTTCCTTCTTTTCTTTTCTTTCCTTTTATTATTAAATTTATAGCTCATCTTTACCTTTTCTTGTATTCACAGATTGGGATTAAGAGGTTTGCTGTTTTTATTTTTCTTACCAAATTCTTATCAATTTACATCTTGCCTGCTTCCTAGGGCTGAGAGAGAGTGACTGGCCCAAGGAAGATCACCCAGCTGGCTTCATGCCTAAGGCAGGACTAGAACTCACAGAAGGAAGATCACCCAGCTGGCTTCATGCCTAAGGCAGGACTAGAACTCACAGAAGGAAGATCACCCAGCTGGCTTCATGCCTAAGGCAGGACTAGAACTCACAGTCTCCTGGTTTCTAGCCTGATGCCTTAACCACTATACCAAGTGGCTCTCTTCCTATTAATTACAGTCACCATATCCGGGCTGCAAAAATCTGCACAACCACTAGATAGCAGTAAAGAGATGGGGAAATACTTTGCTTCCATCTAGGAATTGCCTGGATTTTTTTCAATCTGGCTATGATGGCCCTGTTATTAATCTTGATGCAGTGCTCACTATCAATGCAAGGTCTCGCACTGCTGCTTGAATGGCTTGCTGCTAAGTAGACGCCTAGCTTACTTCTCCTAGTCATTCACTTTTCATACCTGATTATTTTCCACAAGTGCATCCCCCAGCGCTTTTTGATTATGATCTGCCAAGTCTTTCCAGTACTGCTCAGTGGACGAGACATTCTTTATGCTCAGTTGTGAGACAGGATCAACTGGTATAGGTTTCTGAAGGCAGGGGCTGAGGGGGCTTCCATTATCCACAGGGAAAGAAAAATCCAATAGAGGACCCATCGGAGGGGATGGATCTGGAGAATAATAAGAATAAAAATATATAGCTGGCCAACTCCATTCATCTTATTGGCATGTGCGCAATTTAGGTAGGGAGCAATTAAGGCTAAATTAAGCACAGAGCAGCTAACTCAGAAATAATGTTGGCTAATCTCAAAAAGCAGCATCAAGTTGCAGACAGTTCTTCTCAGAGGTCTGACCTGTTGTCTTGCAGATGAGCTTTGAAATTAAGCTAAAGGCTACAGGTTATTCAGCTCTGGTATGATTAAACAGCTATCCTATCTGACTTTTTATCATATCTTCTCAGCTTAAATTCCTTCACTCAGAAGGAACTATTACCAGTAGATAGGGGTGTCTGCAGAAGGGATAAAAGAAAGAAAAAGACAACAGCCACAACTATGTGTCCAACCCCCCACCCCTTTTACACGTGCTGGGCATGAGACACACTTAAAAATGACAGGGCTTTGATCACATGGTTGCAGCCACCATCTTTATTATTTTTTACATCCCTGCCATTAGAATTTGATTTTCAGCCACAGTGGAGTCAAGAGCAGTTGGAAGGAGCAATACAGGGGGAATGATTATCCATGCTAAGGGTTCCAGGGGTTTGAAATCCAGCTCCACTAGATGGCATCAGATTGGGAAAGGTTAATTTAAAGCAAGTGTCCCAAAATTTAAAAGGATTTATGCCCATGAAATGCTGTTTAATAAATCATGTGGGCAAGTTCCACTATGCCCAGTACAGCCTACTCTAAGATATGCATGCATAGCTTTAAAGTGGAAGCCAACATTTTTTTTTGTTTTTTATCTGCACTCAGTCGTTACCGACTCTGCAGTGACTGCTCTTGGATGAGTCCTTTGCAGTTTTCAAGGCAAGGTGTTTCGGAAGTGGTTTGCCAGTGCCT